ATAAGTTTATTATATTAAATTTTTAAATTAAGAATGCTTATAATATATTCCGCATCTTATTAAAATGCATTTTTAAATAATTATTTATTAATTTAAATACTTAAAAAAAATTTTTTTTTCATTTAATTTAAGTTATGAATTACTTTTATTCGTTAAAAAATAATATTATCTCATCATCCTCGCATATAAAATATAATTTATTTTTATTGTTTTATTTATACAATTGCTGATAGTTAGACTTTTACGTCGTAATATATTTAATTTACAGTTTAAAATACTATAAATAAAAAACAAATATTATAAAAAAATAAATTATTTTTGAAATGTTAGACGTTCCTTTATAGAAATTTTTACATTGAAGTTGTGAGAGATACGGGCAAAATGTAAATTTCTACGGTGTCTAACACATGAATTTAGTCCAAAAGTCAGTTAATCTCGGTTAACTGACTCTTGGACCACCGTAAAATATACAAAAAAAAAAAAAAACAATCTAATATAGCTAAATTGCAAGAGAAATTAAGTTCAGAATGTTAATAATTGTACTTATATAGAATATTATTAATTAATAATCCTGCAATAGAAAATATACCTGTACCTTAGAACTGATTTAAATTATATTTTAACATTCTGTAATGAAGAAAAAAACTGAAAATTTAAATACTACATTATGGTCGATACGTTAGACGATCATTGAAATATACTTGTCTATTATTATATTTTCCGTTTTATATAATAAATAATTTATAGAATATTTTAAATATATAAAATTTTACAAAACGATTTTTTATTCTTACTAAATTATTTATAGTAATGGCTGACGAAAAATATAATGAAAACATTAAATTTTTATTTTTAACATCTAAGCTGATTATTCCATTAATAAAAAAAAAGTAATCCGTAATCTGAACATAAATCATTTTTAATCCTTCTCGGCCTCATTAAACTGTAAAAAAAGATCTTCGTGATTAATTTGGTTAAGAATTTTATATGAATTTACATATCGCTGGATAAATTATAAAGAATAAGACTTTAATATAATTTATGAGGCAAATATAAAATATGAAAGAATTATGGTTAATTTTAACGCCTTTCGTGGAAGATTTTCCACAATTTGCTGGTAATAAAATCAATAAAGAATAATTTGTATACGTTCTTCTTTATTTTTTGATTATATGATTAATGTCAAATGTCTAACAGGACATTTTAAGTAATGACATTGTGGATTTTTAAAATTGCTTGTAATGAAAATGAGATGGAATTATATGAAAATTTGAATTTATTTAATAAAAATGAGAAGAAATTACATTCTTTTTTTTTCTTCTTTACTGTTCAATATTTCTACTTGTAATTGTAATTGTTTCAGAAAATACAATAGCATCAGAACATTCTAAACTTCGTCGAATGCATTAGGAATTCTTGCTAAACGTTTGCTTTTATTTTGTAACATTTGCTTATGTGGAAACTGTTTTGGACCATATCATGAGGAAAATATAAATACCACGATTTAATTTACATGTTATATACTACTGTTTCTTTTTGTATTAATCTTTTAAAACAAATATATATGTTGCATTTTTATAACAATTAGGCCTATACTTACGTTTATTATAGATATTGAAGAGATTTTTTTTAAATACAATCTTAGAAATTGCTAAAGTTTATATATATAATTAAAACATAATTAATAAATAATATTTATTATTGAAAATTTACTTTTTTCTTTACTTATTAATTTCTTTTATAAATGTAATATTATTATTAAAAATTCCTTTTATTAATTACGAAAAATTGCATAAATCATTTAAAAATATCGTAAAAAATATTAAAATATAAGCGAAAACAAATATAACATAATTAACGATTAAAAGTAATTTGCATTATAACGATAAATAATACTAACTCTATGTCACGACTTGGTGCATTTATCGACACTTGGCACAATACATACATTTTAATTCATACAGAAACGCGTTTCGGGCTTCTGCCCCTCTTCAGTCTGTTACATCGATAGTATACGGTATCAGTCTGGGATTTTCCTTACTTCCCGCTCCCTTCCCCTCCCATCTTCTCCCGACTTGACGGCCTTCCCCGCATGCCTCGTAATTTGTAACTTCACCCCTCCCCGAGTGTTGCGTACAGCCTCGCCTGCGACTGTATAAACATTCTATTTTAATAATTGTAGCCAGTTTTTATGGATGTCAATGCTTAGGTTCTTGTTAATATTATTTTTGTCTATAGTAATTTCGTAGCTTTCTTTCTTTAAGGGAATGTAGAAAAA